GCGCCGCCACCGCCCCGCTGCCCCCGCCGGCCGCGCCGTGACGCGGGTATGAGCCTGGCCCGCCGCCCGCCGAGCAAGCGCCCCGGGCCCGGGCCGTGGCGCCCAGGTAACTTGGGGGGCGCGAGGCGGGGAGGGGGCACCTAGGCCACGCCCGAGCCCGCGAGACCCTGGGCGACTCCAGCCCGAGAACTCTCCAAGCCTATGGGACCTACCAACCCTATCGGGGGAGGGGGCCTCGGGGACCCTCCCACAAAAGGCCCCCCCCCCCCCCCCCCAGGCCCCTGAAACTCTCTCCGGGCTCCTCCTACACCAGCTCTCGCCTACAGGGGAGCCCTGGTCGGGGCCCTGACCTCACCTGTGCCCCACACCAACCGTCGGAGAAGCCCAGGCCCCTGTGGTCTCCACTCTGGGCCTGCCGCCCGACCGGGCATATCCCAGCCCATCGCAGCCCCCAGCTTCCTCCCCACTTTCCTGCTCCCCATGGCCTGCTCTCTCTCAGCTCCCCCAAATTCCAAGAGACTTGTCTACCCCAGCTGCCCACTGCCCACCACACCTGCAAATGGTTCCTATCCTACAACTTAAACTCATGGTCAGCTCCCCTCCTCGCCTGGAACCTTCCTCCCCTGGCCATAGGGGACTGTCCACCTTCCCCTCCTGCCAGAGCCCCCAAGGCCCAGCTTCCAGTTAAATGCTTTCTGTCACTGCAAAGAAGCTTGAGCAGAGGCTGAGCACCTGGGTGATGTGGGCAGAGCAGGGCCTCTGTGCAGCCTGCCAGCCCCAAGCTGTGGGTGCCTGGCAGTTGCCAGGATACTTGGATGGAGCATTTGGGGTGTAGGGGTGTGCAAGTCAAGGGCAGTGAGGGGCCTAGCAGGATTCCTGGCCGTGGTGTGAGCCTGGTCTTGTTTAGTGCAGATTCTTTCCTTGCCCCTTTCAGAGAGATGTGGCTGGAGTGCAGGCCATTCCTGCCCCCCTTGCAGGATGGGTTTCAGGAGCTGTGACCCCTCCCACCCAGTTGCTTGCCTCTCTGTGCTTGGGTGCTGGCTACTTTTAGCTCTCCCTTCTCGGGCAGGGCAGCAGGGCTGGGCATGACCTCACCCTCCAACCCTGACCAAGATGGGGAGGCCTGGCCACCATGTCAGCAGTACTCTCTCCCCTGAGGCAGCTTTGAACCCAGCTGGGGACTGGCTGGTTGTTCAGGAACAACAGTTTGCCGACCATGACAGTCAGCCCTGGGAAGGCCCCAGGACCCGGACCCAGGGAGGTGGGAGCCCATCGCTACTTAACATGCGCGTGAAGGTTGAGCTGGGCCCTGCCAGGTGGCTAAGGGTGGTGGTGGGAGGATGGGTGAGGAGGACAAGTGGAGAGAATTATGCTTTCAGTCCCCAGTTGCTGAGCACTTACTCTGCACTAGACATGGTTCTGTGCACTGGGATGGAGCTATTAACTAGACAGACAAGGCACTGATGTTCTAGAGTGTTCTAGGAGACAGTGGCCAAGTAGCAAATGAAGAGCTGAAGGAACAAGACAGTCCTATAGTGATGTGTGTGATGAAGACAGTGAAGCTGGATAGAGGCTGACTGGCGGGGCTTCTTTGGCTCGGGTGGTCCGGGAAGGCCTCTCTGAGGAGGTGACCTCTGAGCTGAGACCTGAATGAAGCGTTGAATGAGCCTTGGGACCGTCAGAGGGAACAGTGTTGTAGGCTTGGAACAGCAAGTGCAGTGGTCCTGCGTGGGAAGGATTTAGGCGTGTTGAGCAACAGATAGGAGGCCGTGCGTGCTGAGCCGGGCGGGTGTGGGGGAGATGGGCCCAGAGGGGTGGGTGAGGGGCCCAGAGACAGCAGAGTGGCAGTTGCGTGGAGGCATAACATCATTTGCCTGACTTCAGGGCCCAGGAGACTGTGGTTGTTCAGATGTTCCCTCATCCCACTCTGTCGGGTTGGGTACTTGATCCGTCTTGCCACCCGCCTTAGATGAGACCCGCAGTGTCTGAGCTGGTGGTTTCTTCAGGGGATTTGCATGGGTGGAGGCAGAGGGTGGGATGGGAAGACGCCCTCGTGGCCCCTGATAACAATCACACTGGGGGAGAGAGGGCCTGAGTACAGGTGATGGGAAGTGTCCCTGGTGCCGGAGAGAATCCTGCCTCCTGCCGATAGGATCTTTGCCATGGGGCGAGACAGGGAGATGACAGTGAGGCGTGTCCAGGTAGGGCTGTCCCTGAAGCCCTGATAAGATCCTATCCCCCACGGGGTGGGGAGGCCCGGCCAGGCAGGCAGCCACTCCTGCTCAGTCATTGGTTGCCAACAGCAGCAAGTAGCGTTTGTTCTGGAGCCAAAGCCTCCAGGCAGAATCCAGGTGCAGGGAAGGAGTGCTCAGAGGGGCTACCCTATGGGGCTGGGAGGCCCTGCCCTGCCACTCTGCTGGGCATCAGGGAGTCTCCTGCCCTTTCTGGGGAGAGCTGGGGGAAGGGGGCCTTTGAGTCCAGCTCTCTCTGTACAGGAGCCCTTAGTGGCCTGGCTCAGGGTGGGTGCTGTCTCTGGTTGGGCAGCCATGTTGATGCCAGGCTGGGAGGAGGAATGGGGGGCCCCCGCTCTCCCCTGCAGTACTCAGGGGGCTGCTGAGCACTCTCTGGGTGTTCAGAGCTGAGCTCACAGGCCTGAGACATCAGGCCTTGAATTAGTGAGGCATTCTTTGCAGCTGTGGGCTCGAGAGAGGCAGAGCTGGCGGTGGCCCAGGAGTGATGGGGAAAGTGGCCCCAGGTGTGGCAAGGCAGGGACCGCCTCAGCCCTGTGCCTGGACTTCTGCGTTCCACCATGAGGCCCCGGTGGACCCTCACAGGCTCAGCCCGGGGCCACCTGTCCAGCTTAATAATACAGTCCCTCAGGGGGATGAGTTAGTTCTGGGCACCCCCACACCGGATCCCGTTGCCTGTCCAATTTGGGGGTCCACCTGTTGACCTTTCCCCCTACCTCCCTTACCCCCCTTTGCCATATCATTTTGGGTCCCAGGCTGGGTCTTGCTCTTGCAAACTTCATTAGGGTCTGAGTGTGGCCAGGAATCTCTGTGACTTAGGGCCAAAGAGGGAGCTGCCGAGCCTTTGCCCCCCGGGCTTCCCGTGGAAGATTGCTCTTTTGCTGGGTTATTTCTGTGGGGCTGGCTCTAGGGCTTAGGGTGTGGGCCTGTGGACAGACAGGGCAGCGGTGCCCCTGAGAGCTTGGCATCACAGTCACTTGGGAAGGTAGCTGGTTGGCGGGGCCATGACAAGAGGCCTGAACTGGGCAGGTGGAAGGCTTGGTTATGATAGTGTCACAGCCCTTGAAATAAAAATAGCCTTTGTTTTGGGGGCGGAAGTTCTGGGTCCAAAGTGGGCAAACAGGTACCCCCATGAGGCATTTCCTCAAAGTGGGACTTATTTTCTGTCTCTCTCTTTTTTTACTGATGGGGAAACTGAGGCATGGAGCAGGCCGCTGGATTCACATTCCTGGCTGTGTCACACCCCAGGCTCCCTTGAATGAACCCAGAAGCCTCGTGGCCAATGGCCAGCCTTGGAGGGGAATTTAACGGAGGTGGTCCTTGCTGTGGGGGCGAGGCAGCCCCATGGGCAGGCAGTAGAGACAGAGCTGGGGAAATTTACCAGTCTCTGGCTGCCAGAGCTCAGGTGTGGTGGGGCTGTTTGGGGGTCAGTGTTGGGAAGGGGACCCTAGACCAGACTTTATAGGAGGAAAGCAAACCACTTGGATATCCCATCACGGAGGGTCTTGGAACCCAGGGGGGCCGGGATAGAGGGACCGAATGGGCAGGGAGGCAGCTGAGGGTGTACGGAAGAGGCTATCAGGGTGCAGGTAAGCTAGGGGAGCATCACCCTCTCTGCCCATCCCCTTGTTTGTGTGTGCCCCCGGGGGGGCGGGGTAGGCCCATCTGTTCCTTGTTAGGTACTCAACAGACCGTCTTCCAGGAGAGTAATTAATGCCAAGTTGCTGGCGGATCCAGCAGCAAGCTTGTCCCAGGGCTTTATCCTGGCGGCCCAGATGCCCTGCTGACCCCAGAAATGCTGTTCCATTCCCAGCCAGCAATCCTGGAGACACGGGGGGCCGAGTTGCCGGCAAAGCCCCTGCTTCTGAGCCTGAATGGTAGAGAGGGCTTGGGTGGGGGTAGGCAGCCAGAGATGGCCACAGGACGTTCCACCTTGCCTTCCCGCCCCGGGCCTGCCTCCGCCACCCACAATGAAACTTCTCTTTCGTTGCTGGCTGTGCCCCAGACTTGCTGTGCGACATTAGCCATGTTGCTTATCCTTTCTGGGCAGCTTTCTTTTCCGCCTCCATCTGTAGAATGGGTGTCGGACTGCGCCATTGCTGAGGACCCCCTCCCCTTGTCTTAGTCTTAGCTTTTATCTGCCTGATTCAGAGCGGCCCCTGCTGGCATCCCCATTTCCTGCTCCCTGTAGACTTCCCCTTGGTGCTCCTCACCGCTCTCTGGCTGTGTCCTCTAACCCAGGGCCAGGTGACTGCTGGCTCTGTCTGTAATTAACTCCTGCCCATGCTTGGGACACGGGGCACTCAGCGCCAGCACCCCCAGACCAGCGGGTTCCCCTAGGGCCAGGGAGAGGTGACTGTTTCCACAGTGGCCACCTCCAGTCGGCCCAGCACATTCCTCAGGCTTATCTGGGGGCCCGCCCCACTGGACTCTGCCCTCCCACCCAGGAAGCAGCACCCAGAGGAGCTACTGAAGAGTTCCAGGGGCCGGGATGAGGGCCTGAGTGGGCTTGACTCTCAGCCTCCCTCCTGGGGCTGGAGAGAACCAGGTATAGACTGGCAGGGGGAGGGTGGGCAGAGGGATTTGGGGGTCTGCTGAGACTGACCAGGCAGACTGTCTTGAAGCTCGGGACGTGTGGATTTCACTCACACCAGACTGTGGGCCACCTCCTGGGCACCCCACCTCCCCTCTCTCGGAAGGCTCTCCCCTGAGGCCCCTGTGCATGGGAGGGGGCCTGGCTCTGGGAAGGTCACCTTAAGTCTGCTCCAGAGTTGTAACAGGAGATGGGACGGGACAACGGCTCCTGGGCCACCTCCCTCTCTTCCCACCTCCACAGTGGGAGCCGGCGCCAGCCCTTCCAGGAAGGGGTTAACCGCCAGCCCCAGCCGTGAGGGAGGGGACTGGGCTGGACCATTTTCCTCGCTGCTGCCTCCACCTCGGTTTTCCTGAATGGTTCTGTCGTCCCAGGGTGGGGAGGGAAGGGAAGGAAGAAGGGCGGGCGGAGGGAGGGAGGGAGGAGTGTGGGAAGAGGAAGGAAAAAAGAGCGAGACAGCCAGGGGAAGAGAAAGATGTCACTGTCTAATCTCCCTGTCATTTTTATTTCCAGCAGGCGCCGGGCAGAGGAGCTGCTAGAACAATGCTGAGGCGGGCGAGGTGAGGAGCGGCCCTCGCGGCCCCCCCGACGACGGAGTGTCTCGAACAGGTGATAGGAGGATCCGGAAACCGAGGCCACCTGGGCATCCCTCCCCGCTCTCAGCCAGGCCCGGCACCCCAAAGGCAGTGGGGAAACCATGGCGACCAATTTCAACGACATCGTCAAGCAAGGCTACGTGAAGATGAAGAGCAGGAAGCTCGGGGTGAGCCACCCTCCGAGGGGCCTTGCCGAGGGACGGGCGTCCGAGGACCTGGTCTGGAGCCTGCCGCGTCCTGTGCGCGGGTGCCCGCCCGGGGCCGCATCGCGCAGTTGTGGTGTCGAGGCTTCTGGCCAGCCGGCTACCCGGCATGTGCCTGCTGCGGCCCCCACCCCAGCAGGGCTGGCCGGCGTCCCAGCGGCCGGGCCAGGGGTGGCGGCCGACGACGGGCAGGCGGCTGCCCTGCCATTGTTGAAGTTGTGGCCAGGACAGCGGCTGGAAGTGCGGGGCTGTGTCTGAGCCTCTCACTCCCCCTTGTCTCCTCGCCTCGCCTCGCCTCTCTGTTTCTCTCCTCCCTCTCTTGGCCCCTTTTCTCTTAAGTCCCTTGGTCTCCCCCAGCTTCCATTGCTTTCTGTGTACGGGTCCTTATGTATTTATTTTGGCTATTGCTTTTACCGTTAAAGGAGTGTGTGAAAAAGAGAGTGGTTGGCTGTGGGGCAGGGCAGTGATGTGAGGGTGCAGAGGCTGGTATTTATGTGGTTTAGGAATGAGAACTTAGAGCAGGATGGCCTGTGGCTCTGGGACAGACTGCTTTCCTCTAAGTTGTTGGCGGTGGCTCCTTGCGCACTGGGTGCTTGGCCCAGAGCTGGGGGCTTGCTTACAGGGTCTGTGGGGATGAGGCCTCAGATACACCTCTGTGGGCATGCGCCCCCCCTCACCCCCTCCTGGTGAGTACAGCTTCCCCTCAACCCCCAGAGAGCATGACCAGGGGCTCCTGGGACCAACTTAATGATCTCAGTGAGGTTGTCCAAGAGCTGCCTCTGTTCCCCTGCTGACCCTCTCCCACCTCCAGTGAGGGGTCCTTCCCCAGTAGGAGGGTATCCTTGGTGACCGAGGTGGCCCAAGTCTTGTGTTTTCACGGGGTCTCCCTTCTCTCTCTTCCTCCCCTCCCCCATTGCCCTGATGGGGGTGGGGTGAGATCAGACTTCTCAAGGCTTCCTGGCTCAGCCTGAGTGGGGTGGGGGAGGAACAGGGCTCTGATATGGTTTCCCTGCCTGGAAACCAGACCAAGCAGGGCTGGCCTTGGAGAGGGGTGGTTCTTGCCCCTCCCCCCCTTTTGTGGTCCCGCGCGCCCCTGTGGGCGTGTGTTCTGCCCAGAGTGTAGGAGCTGAGCTGTAGGCGTGTCTGGAGTCTTTGCTAGATTTGGATTTGTATCCCAACCTGGGTTTCAGTCCAGGAGACAGTGCCTGGGTGGGCACCACCTTGCTCGGGTCCTGAGAGAGGGATGGAACCCACGTGGAGCACAGAACTAGAGAAACTGAAAATGAGGTGGGGAGGCCAAGGGAGTAGGGGCCCAGCTTCTAGTATGGTTCCTCATTCCTATGGGCCTGGGTCTAGCAGGTCCCTGGGGCGGGGGGCCCACCTGGGCCAAGGCCCTGCCCAGTGCAGAGCTTACGGGGAAACGAGAGCCCCCTTGAGGCAGCCACTTGCACTTAGTATCAGACCTGTTCCAGGAGGAGACCTGAAACCAAGTGGCCTACAGGTGGACACAGCCAGTGGGAGAGATTGGGAGCTGGGGTGTGGCCAGATCCAGTTTGGGTCTCCCTGTACCCAGGGCATTCAGCCTGTCCCTGCAGGTCTGATATGAGGGGCTGTCAGCCCTTCTTGTGCCAGGGCAGCCATTCTGGTCTCAGCTCACAAAGGTGAGCCAGGAGGGGCTGAAGGAGCTGGGGAACAGACCCTCCTACCCGCCAGGGCCTTCCTCTGGCAGAGCTGTGGCAGAGTGTTTCTGAAGTGCTGATCAAAGACCATGAGAAGTGGGGAAGGAGGGCTCTTGAGCACAGTGGCTCCCTGGGGCTGTGCGTGCGTGCGTGCGTGTGTGTGTATCTATCTGTATCTGTAACCAGGCAACCAGGGTGCTCAGGCCCCTGGGCCTTCTGCCCCTACACTGCAAGCTTCATGGAGCCCAAGTTGGCAGGGCATATTGGGGTCGACAGCCTTCATTCATTCATTCATTCATTCATTCATCCAGCCATCCACGGTCTCTTCATATGGTCATTCACTTGTTCAGCAGAGCTGTGTTAACAAGGTTACCAGGATGTGAGTGAAGATTCTGAGAATAAAGTACAGTCTCTGTCCTAAAGGAGCTCCCCAGCTAAGAGCTGAGGCCTGCTGTGGTTTAGGTGGATAGGCCAGGGGCTGAGCCAGGGCCCTGGGTACAGGAGCAGAGATACCTCCTAGAGTTCCAGATGGTCCCAGAAATGGCCTGGTTCTGAGTGGCTTCTTGGCCTGGGGCCCTGCCTACCCGGGACCTGGGGACTGAGTGGCAGGGCCGTAGGCATGGGGCTATGGGCCTCTTGCTTCCTCTGCTCTGGGCACCCCCAGTCTCCCTACTGTTTGCCGGTGAGAGGGGGCACCTGTGATTTCTTGGAATAGGCTTTGCCGGGCTTTTGCAGTGCCCACTGACAGAGTAGGCTGAGAGAGAGCCTGGGGTGGAGGAGGGGGCCAGGGAAGGAAGAGTCTGCAGCCTGGGCCGGTGGCTAGGCCACCACTGGGGGTGGGGGGGGGAGGGTCTGACAAGCCAGTTTGCCCTGGAGCATGGTTGGCTCCCTGCACCCTGGCTCCTTGGCAGTCAGGATGAGCCCATGAAGCTCTAGAGAATCAAGGCAGTTTTAGGCACGGGGTCATTGGCAGTAGTCGGACAGGAGGGAACCTCGCCTGGGGAGGCACTATGCTGTGGGGTAACCCCAGGTTCTTGGCTCTGCCCCTCTGGGGAACCACTGAGAGCCTCTGGTTCCCCAACTGGAACAGGGAACTAATCCTGACCTCCTATACTCCAGAATGTCAGAGGATGACAAGAGAGGGTGGCCAGAGATGAGAGGGGGTATTACTCCCATCAAGAGCCCTCCCCTGCCCCTGAGAACAAGGGCTGTGGTGATGTGCAGGCTCAGAATGGTCAAGGGTCTGATCCCTGTCCCTAGGACACTCCCTCTGTTGTGGCTGGCACTTCCAGAGCCCTGGGCAGACTGTTAGGGGTGGCCTCCAAATATCCATTCTGGATCTAGCCAGCGCTTTAAAAATATCAGCACTACCATTTATCAACTGTTACTTATTGGTGCCTCAGTTTCCTGTCTGTAAAGTGGCAACGATCATCAAACCAACCTCAAGAGTGAGCCTGAGATTGACTGTGAAGAACACTAGGAAGTACAGAAGGGAAACAAATGTTGCCTATTTATATTAAGCTTCGAGCTGAGCAGTAAACAGTGATTCAGAGCACTCTTTGTGCAACCGTCTTGCAGAGCCAGGGACGAAATGCCTGCTTCTTCAATTTGGGGAGGGGGCTTCGCTGCTGGTCCCAGGTTTTCTCCTGGGCTGGGTTTCCAGGGAAGGCTGTGTAGCACTGCCCCCTGTGGCAGGCAGGGGTTAGTCAGGGCCATGTTGGGTGGGAGTGGTCCCAGGAGGCCTGATCCCACTGCCCTCTTGCCCCACAGATTTACCGGAGGTGCTGGCTGGTGTTCCGGAAATCCTCCAGCAAAGGGCCCCAGCGGCTGGAGAAGTACCCAGATGAGAAGTCAGTGTGCCTCCGAGGCTGCCCCAAGGTTAGGGGGCCTGGGTCCTAGCTACCCCAGTCTGTAAGCAGTGACGATTTGCTGAGCCCTGAGGTCCAAGAGCACCCTCCTGGGGGTGGCACCACTGGGGGGGGGGGTGCAGAGGGAGGCATTCCAGCCTGGCTCAGTCTCTCCTGGGTGCTGTCGCAGGTAACTGAGATCAGCAACGTCAAATGTGTCACGCGGCTCCCCAAGGAGACCAAGAGGCAGGCGGTGGCCATCATATTCACCGACGACTCAGCACGTACCTTCACCTGCGACTCAGGTGAGGAGCGGGGGCTGCAGGTTTCCAGCCAGACTCCCCTGGGCCAGTCATGGTCCAGTGGTGCAGTCGGGAGGAGGCAGAGCAGGACGAGCCCTGGCTGGGGGTGATGTGTGGGGGTGAAAGTAGTGTGGGGGGGTGGGGCTTGGAGGGAGCAGGCCCCCAGGACAAGGGGAGACAGGCAGGTAGTATCCACTGGCCTCACTCTCTCTGCCTTGCATGGTGGGACACCATGGTGGGCTGAGGGCAGATGGATGGGCTGCTGGGGGACCCGGGGCTGGCACGAGGTACCATTTTCTCTAGAGCTGGAGGCGGAGGAGTGGTACAAGACACTGTCTGTGGAGTGTCTGGGGTCACGACTCAATGACATCAGTCTGGGAGAGCCGGACCTCCTGGCCCCAGGAGTGCAGTGTGAGCAGACAGGTGAGGCCTGCCGCTGCCGAGGGGGTGGGAGGAGGGAGGAGAGTCCTCCCCTGGGGAGGCTCCAGCCCCACTCCTCCTCTCCCGCTGCAGACCGCTTCAATGTCTTCCTGTTGCCCTGCCCCAACCTGGATGTGTATGGCGAGTGCAAGCTGCAGATCACCCACGAGAACATCTACCTCTGGGACATACACAACCCCCGCGTGAAGCTCGTCTCGTGGCCCCTCTGCTCGCTGCGTCGCTATGGCCGGGATGCCACACGCTTTACCTTCGAGGCTGGCCGGTAGGACCCTCCTGCCCCCTCAACCCTGTCCCACCCTGTCCCACCATGTCCCACCACGATCATGCTGTCGGCCGTCGTTCACTCTATCAGGCACTGTGCTGGGAGCTTATTTATCAGCATAGAAAACCAAAAGGGAACGTAAGATTTCCAGTTTATAGATGAAGAAATTGAGGCTCACGCAAGGAAGGTCAAGTGCGGCTGTTTCAAACTTCTGGGGCTCAAATCAAATGCTGGCCCTGGCACCTACAGCTCTGTGGCTGTGGACCACGTCTGTTTTCTTCATCTGTCAAATAGAGGATAAAAAAAAGTACTCCACCTCCTAGAATTATGGTGAGGATTGAGCTTGAACTCTGGAGCCAGCCTGCCTAGACTTAAATTCTGTGTAATCCCCTGTATAATCCTGGCTAAGCTACTTACCATCAGTAGGCCTCAGGTTCCTCATCTGCAAAATGGTTTGAGGAAATTCAGAACAGGAAACTAAAAGTGCGCAGACCAAAGGGATGGGAGAAAAACCTGAATGGGTTCATTCCTGTAAGGCGTTTAGATCACTGGTACACAGAAAATGCCCAGCACGTTTGGGCTGTGCGGCCAGCACCCCCGGAAGACAGAGGGGGTGGGGTGCAGAGGGCCTGGGGCGCGGCCAGTCTGCGGTGCCAGAAAGCCGGACCAAGCACCTGTGTGTGCGTGGTGCAGTCCCCTCTACCTCGCCCTCGGTGCCTCTCGTGTCCCTAGGATGTGTGATGCCGGGGAAGGGCTCTACACCTTCCAGACACAGGAAGGGGAACAGATCTACCAGCGGGTCCACAGTGCCACCTTGGCCATCGCTGAGCAACACAAGCGCGTCCTGCTGGAGATGGAGAAGAACGTGAGGGTGAGGCAGCGGGCACTGGTCCAGGCTACCGGGGAGGCTAAGAGCACGCCAGTTGTCTCCAGCTGGCGCGTACGCCAGAGGCCGGCAGGGTGCTGGGCTGGAGGCAGGCCGCTGCCCCTGGAGCTGACGGGAGGGCCCCCCCTTCTCTGCCCCATAGCTGCTGAACAAGGGCACGGAACATTACTCATACCCCTGCACGCCCACCACTATGCTGCCCCGCAGTGCCTACTGGCACCACATCACAGGTTCCCAGAATATTGCCGAGGCGTCCAGCTGTGCCGGTGAGTCCCAGCGGCGCCCCACACTCACCTGCCACAAGGTTCTGTGGAGGACCGGGCCTTCTGGGTGGGGGTCCTTTGACCTGCGTCCAAGTCCTGAGCCCGCCTCCGTGTCCACAGGTGAGGGGTACGGGGCAGCCCAGGCCAGCTCAGAAACAGACCTCCTCAACCGATTCATCCTGCTAAAGCCAAAGCCCGGCCAGGGGGATGGCAGCGAGACCAAGACCCCAGCCCAGTGACGGCAGGGCCGGCGCGCGCCAAGGACCGCCGGGGCTGCCTCTTGCTGGGCCGACTGCAGCGTGTTGTGGACGCCCTCGAGGGGCTGCTGGCCAAGAGCCTGGAGAAGCGGAGCAAGCTATCCCTTCCTTGCCCCCAGGGTGAGGCTGGACCAAGGCAAAGGGCTGGCCACACCGCCAGAGCATGTGCGGGGCTGGAGCTACTGTGGGACTATATACTGTTAATGATTTTAATATATATGGCTTATGACATATTCTATACTCCTGAGATTTCCCCCATCCCTCCCCGATACCACATACAGTTTTTAATCCCATGACCGGGTCACAGTCAAGGCTGTTTTTGAACGTGAGGGCAGCTGTTCCCTGTCCTCCGTGGCACAGCCCTCCTGCTGCCAGGACTTGCTTGAGTGGCCAGGGCCAGAGGAGGGAGACAGAGCTCCAGGCTGGCGCTGGGACCGCTGGCTTTCCCCAAGCAGCCCAGGGGCTGAGACAGCAGGTGGCTTCTCAGTTCCTCTGGGCCTAGAGGGGCACAGGAAGGAGTTGAGCTTCCACTGTGCCTCTTGGCAGCCTTGCACTTGGGAGTTTTAAGCAGAGGTGACATCTGGTTGACACCTCAGGTGAAAATCTGGTTTTAAAATGTAATTTTTGCCCAGGCTCCTTCCTGCTTAGTAGGCGGAGAAGATCCCCCAGGGGTGGGGGTGCAGGTCACCTCAGCGAGGAGGAGGAGGGCCGGTCTGAGCTCTTCCCCACCCCGGGGCCAGGCTGCGGGGAGCACCCCTCCCCCACCCTCACTGACCTGGGGGTAGGTGATGTCCCAGCAGAGGAAGCCCCTCTGCCCTGTTTGGCCACCCTATGGCCGGCCAAAAGCACTCGGAAACCGAGCCCTTCCCATCTCCTCTTCCCCACATGGTGCTGAGGCTCCCTGCTGAAATGCAATTAAAGCAATTGATTTTCTAGTGCTGGTATTTATTGACTACCTTGCAGAAGGGCTATCTTTCTATTCCCATCAAACCCTCGGTTGCGTGTGTGGGTTTTTGGTTTTTTTTTTTAAATACTTTAGGGTTCTGATTTGTGGAACAGACCCTGTTGTAAATAACCACTATTCAAGCTGTGGCAGAATGATACAGCAAGAGGCCCCTCCAGGAGCGCCCTGGAGCCAGAGAGGGGCCACAGCCAGCTCGGCACCAAAGGCCTTGGAGAGGGAGGTAGGGCCGGCTGGCTCAAGTTAGTGGCACGATGACGCATGAAGGAGATTATGTTGTGCTCTTTATTGCCAAGAATAAAAACTTTTAAAAAGACAACTCCTGAATCAATAAATATCCCTTCCTTTCTGTACCGAATCTCAGGTTTTCTCCAGGCATCTCCTGCCAGGCTGCCTAATTAACTACTTTGGGCATGATTCTACCCTACAGGGGTAAGGGGTCAAGGCCAGACCTTCCCTTCATTAAGGCCCTTGCCCCCCAGCACCCAAACTTAAATAATCAGGCTACTGGCAGTGAAGTTCATAACTAATGGGTAGAGAATGAAATACAGGGTTTACCTGGGGCAGGGAGGCAGCCAGGCTCTAACACTCTTCTCTAAGGGTTCTCAAATTAGGGACACTTGGAGATTTGAGCGAAGTGCCAGCAGCCTGGCTCTGGGCAGGGACTGGAAGGGGTTGTAGGCAACTTGAATGAGGGTTCTAACACTCAATCCTAACACCGGAAGTCCAAGGTACAACTGTGAAACCTCCAACTGTTGGACAGAAAGGGTTTGAAGACCTGAAATGACCAACAGAAGAAAGTCCAGCTCAGTGGTTCTCAACAGACTCCCCCAAAGGCACATAAGAAAACGCATTGGAAGGGATGTCCTGGGGAATGCCACTGGCAATGAGTGGGCAGAGCCAGGGACGTGAGATGTCTAGTAAAAAACTGTCCTGCCTCAAATGCCAGTGGCATGCCTGGCAATCTGAGCAAAGCTGGGATAGGCCGCCTCTTCCATACGGCTCCCTTTCTAGTGGGTACTGACGGTTTGCCAAGAAGCCCGAGCCAACAGCTGTCCACATCCCAGTAGCTAGAAGAGGCTCTGGAGAGACAAATCCAGCTGCTGGCCCAGATCCCCCCCTTTTTTGTTCAAACAGGTGAGCTGTGCTAGTTTATGGTTAGGACATCACTCTGGATCTCGTGGCTTAACTGGGTCTGTAAATCACTCAGCTTCTTCTTCAATCCAGAGAGGGCTGACAGGACAATGGTCTCAGGGCGCAGAGAGCCACAGGACTCGACGTTGTAGTAAAACCTAAGAGGAAGAGTCTGGTGAGAGCCCTCCGCGAGGCAGGCTGGCTCAGCCGAGCGTCGGCCTCGGATCATGCGCTCTCTCCTGGGTGGCTTCAACCTCTTACTAACGGGGGTCCTGCTGTACATTACGGGACTCCAAGGAGGCCACAGCTAGCTCAAAAAGCTACTGGGGAAACCTTAAAACACTTCGGAGTGCATGTGTTCCACATGGAGACAGTGGAAAGTCAAGTTAACAGTGGCTCACGTTCACTGTCAGAAGACTGGTCACTTCTGGCTCTGGGCAGACCTCTTCTTTGGGGATTGCTCATCAGAGGAGGAGCAGAGTGAAACCACCGCAGGGCCCCTCATCCCACAGTGACCAAGGGAGATGATCACCTGCCCTGGGACCTGCACCCGCCATGGATTCTGCAGCTCCCCTTCCTTCCTCAGCTCACGGGCACTGGGACGTGAGGGAAGGGTCTCCCGACTCAGACCTTGCACCAAAACCATACATTCTTACACACTTCATGTGCCGGCCTGGATCTTACCTCTCTGGCTTGCCGTTGGGGTCGTAGGGAGCCTGTGACTCATCTTCGTCCAGCTCTGAGTACTCGCTCTTTGGCCTGAGGTCAAATACAGGTCAGCACAGGGCTGCTACAGCTGCTTTTAGGGCACTATGTCCACAGTGAGCCTGCCCCGACCCCAGTGACTGGGAGCCATTTCCACACCAACCCACCCTGAATGCCTTTACTCCCAATGAGAACATACCATTCCTCAGGCTTGGGGTACACTGTGTGCCTCAGGGCATTGTCAGGATCATATTCAAAAGCCACCCCTGCGGTAGGGTTCCACTTGGCATGCTCCTTGCCAAAGCCCTTTTTGGCATAGGCTCGAAGTCTCAGCTCCTGGCCCTTCCTCAGCTTGACGATGAGGATGTCTGTGGGGAGAGGTGTGAGTCAGTCAAGGGCCGACAGACACCGTCCCCTGAATTTTGACCCGCAATACCACCAGAAGACCACACAATCAGGAAAAACAGCCCAAAGGTCAGCTGACAGAGACCAGGGAGCACGAGAAGCTGTGTCTGGTCTTGCCTCTGTGCTGGCCTGCAGAACGATGAGCCGGGCAGAGATCCACATACTCCCCCCAGCCCCTTACCGTCCTGCTCGACGTAGTCATTGGGGTCATTATCTCGGTTCCGGGAGGTCACCTGGAGGGAGCCCAAACAGAGGCATTTATTAGCTGCTCGTCTCCCCAGTCACCTCTTCTGGCAACCATGTCCCCGCACCTGCCGACCAGGGACAGGATGCCTGGAAATGAGGGGTACTAGGATTAAATCTGTGCTGGAGCTGGACTCCAGCCTCTGCCTCATGGCCTGGTGACAGCCTTTTCAGTCAAAACAGTACCCTCTCAAAGGGTCCTCGGGTGACAGAGGGTGGGCACACAGCACAACAATGCTCCTGTCCACCCTGGCTACTGTTCAGAATTATTAGCACTTTTAGGCACCAGGCTCAGTTGAAGGCAGAGGGTAACTCAAGGGAAATCAGCATCTTGTAAGAAACCACCGAGTCTGGCTCACTTCGAGCCAGGAGGAGAACAAAGGTCCTGGGTAGCACACTGTGAGACACTGACTGGAATGACCCGGGGGCTGTTGGAGATGAGGTCTCGAGACGTGACGTGACGAGTCTGATCTTCGTTGCACCGCACGTCAAGAGTGAACTCCACTGAGCACTCGGGGCAGAACTCTTCGCACGTGCAGTCCTGAGGCGGGAAGACAAGCGGGAATGAGCCTATGGAGAGGTGGTGAGCCCTGAGCTCCCTGCTTCTAACACCCAGTTCCTTAGATTTCTTAATGTAAAAGGGCTGCTCTCAGGCTCCAGGCTCTTGTGGGCCATGCCAATCTGGTACACCATTCTGCCGGGCCACCCAAGTGCAGGCCCTTCCCAGTTTAGAGACCACCCGTACCTGTTGACGCCTGGGTTTACTTTCCACCTCCAGCAGCTGCCAGGCCACCACCGGGAGACACATTGCTAAACTCTCACCCTGGCCCTCGGAGCGCCCTTCTTCAGGGATACAAGGCGTTAAGCAAGAGAATGATGCTTTCACGCTTTAGAGTGCAGCTTCCCATGAACTGTGTGGACTAGCTCGGGAATGCAATCATCATTTAAAATAAAATGATCCAGGCAACAACAGTAAAGTTCTTTCAAGTTCTGGACTACTTTTTCTTTTAAAAACAAAGCAAAAAAACCTTTCCATAATGGAAAATTTCATGCATTCACAAGAGCAGAGCAAAGCAGAAGAGACTACCACCGTGTAACCATCACTCAGCTTCAATAACTAGCAACAGTTCTTTAAGCAACGACTCTTGAAACAATCCATTCCTACGTTAGGGACCATCTGCTGCAGTTTAACTTCAGGCGAGTTACTGGAATGTAACCAAGCAAACTGTTCGCCCCCTCAGGCCAATGAGGAACATCTAACCTGCTTCTGAGGTTTTTCAGACAAGGAGGAAGAGCTAGAGGCCACACCTGGACAGTGTGCAGTCACACACAGGTGAGGCAGGCAGGCAACCGAGACCCTAAGTAGAAATATGAAACGCCTGGGGTGCCTGGGTGGCTCAGTCGGTGACGCATCCGATTCTTGATCTCAGTTCAGGTCATGACCTCAGTTCACAAGATCGAGCCCCTGTGCTCACAGGGCAGAGCCTCCTTGAGATTCTCGCTCCCTTTCTCTCTGCCTTCCACTACCCCCCTTCAAAAATGAATGAATAATTAAGTGAATATATAGTATATATATATATATGAAAGAAATGGAAGGGGAGCACCCGGCTGGCCCGGTCAGTAGAGCATGTGACTCTTGTTCTCGGAGTTGTAAGTTCGAGCCCCGCATTAGGAGATAACAAAAAGACAAAAACAAAAACCTACTAAATAAACACTAAATTAAAGAAACTGGCATGAAAGAGATGAAAAGGTACACAACCTCAAAAAAATATATATCATAAAGGAGAGGGATCTGAGATTAAGAACCTAAAGAAGTGTAACAACCAAATGCACGCATGGATCTTTGCTGGATGACAAAAAGCAAGAAAGGATATGTGAGGGACAACTAGGAAAATCTGAATATTTGAAATACGACAAAATAATGCTAATAGTCTTAAGCATGATGGCATAGTTATGTAGGAAAATATCCTTATTTTTAGGACAAGCATGCTGAAGTAGTTAGGGGAAAAGTGTTATGGTATCTGCAACTTTCAAATGGTTCAACAAAAATAACACGGATAGGAAAAACAAAGCAGATGTAGCAAAATATTAGCAATTGGTAACTAAAGCTGAAAGTAAGTGGCTGTTTATTATTTGATTCTTTTAACTTTTCTGTAGATTTTCTGGAAAAAAAAAAAAAAACAGAAAAAAGGGGAGGAGACCATAACATCTTTGTTCAGCAAATACTAGAAAAACACTTAATGGATGGAATTGCTAGGTCATGGGGCATGCATATCTTCACCCACGACATTGCCAAACTGCTCTTCAACTGGTTGTACAACTGTCCCCACCAATATCTGTGATGTTTCATTTCTTACAAAAATCTGGAAACATGAAGCAAATATTGCAAAATGTTGGACTATGACAAGCTGTTTGGTGGGAGCAAGAGTACTGGTCAGATTATCTCCACACTTTCCTGTGTACTTCAATCTCTCTTTAAAAAACACA